CATTGATGACGTGTCCTATAACCACTTTTGGCCAGTTCGCCTAAAGTAAAGAGCCGTTCGGCTGTAAGTGCCACCTCATATCATAAATATGTTTCAATGTGTGGAATATTTAGCAACGTTTCCAGAGCCTTGTTTGAAGTAGTACACATTTGGAAAAAAAGTGTCGCTAAAGCTCAACGCTTGCTCATAGAAAATTATGATGAATAATTCTCATCAGTTTCGACATGCAAGAGATGGTTTGTGAGGAGATTTTTATATGGAAGATAAAGATCGCGTAGGCAAGTTAAACAAGTTTGAAGATCAAATACTGAAGCCATTGATCCATAAAGATTATTGTTAAACTCACAAGGAGCTACTCAAGCAGTAATTTCTGAAAGTTTGCGAGTAGCAGGATACATCCAAAAGTAACAGACCTTGAAAGACGAAGTTTAATGTAAGAAATTACATTTTTGCACCAATGACAAAAAAATTGATTACGATAACCCGAAGCGTGAGAATGTGTATTTAAACCGACGAATCGCTACATTAATGATTTTTATTTGGTTATGTATAAAGACGTGGTTGGAAAGTTTTGCCTCCATCCGTTTACTATTTGGTTTGATCGATATAGAACGCTATCTATTCTAGATTCACGACATAACAGAGTACTTGAGATTAATATGATCTAATACTGGTTGTAACAGTTTTGGAGCGGAATCCATTTTTTGTCTGAAAGATGGGAAAAGGGATTATAAAACTGCTTTAAAATTATATGTAGTAGTTATATTCTCACGCACATAAAATATCATCTATCATTAATTCAACATTCTGGATAAAATATTATAGAAAATTCTTAAAGTAGCATTTGATGAGTAAAATTTGCAGAATTAAGATCAAAGGGAAAGAAGGATATTAACCACATATTTGTCACTATTATACAATGATCCCTTATTGATTCTGTGATACTATCAACCAGTCTCAGAAAGTAAAAAGGATTGCCTACTTTGTATATACTCAAAACTGTCAACAATTTTAACGATTTATATTAAAATCAAGAAACATAAACAATAAAAAGACAAACATTTTAAAATAGACATAAAATTTAAAACTTTATATTTTAATAACAGTTTAAATCCCGGCTACTATTTTATTTTTATTGACTGACATTAATTTCTAACAAAAGCTTTAACATTTTTATGACTTCTGCTTTAATATAAATGAAACGAAAAAAAAAACAAAAGACTTAAGACACAAACATGTAAATAAGTGTGTGTGTGTCTAAATAAATTCAAGGTATTATAGTTTAAATTATTCCTTCTTTTCTTTTTCTCTCTCTTTCTCTTTGTGTTTCTTAACTTTCCATACAAATTATATAACACTATAATTTAGTTTTTTTTTTTTCTTTTCTTATTTATTTACAGAGATCTGCTCTTAACACGCCTAGACTACCGGGTACACAATTAAAAATTAAACAAAAGGTAAGAATTTAATTAAAATAAATCATAATACTCGTGCAAGAGGGGGGGGGGGGAAGACAAAAGCTAACACTAACTAAAATAAAACGGTTCTCACATATAAAAGGCAATAATTTTTATCAAATTAAATGCTGTGAGAAAAAACTGTTTAAAATAGTTAGTTTTCTTTTATTCATACTAAGAATTTTTTTAGATATAAAAAAAGAAAAGAATCTAGTAGACAATTTAACAAGTTTTCAAATGTTTTTCAGGGTTTTCATGCTTGTTAAACCAAAAAGATGTTGTCTGCTTGTTATTGCTGCTGTTGCTGATGTTTTAGTTTCATACTTGTTAGACAAAATTAAATCATTTCACTTTTTTTCCACAACAAAAAGAAAAACAACTACTATAAGTTAGAGTAATAATGAACTCATTAACATCATTGTTAAAACTATTAACAACAAAACTAAATGAGTCTGTTTGGAAAGCCAAAGAAATTTTGTTTTTCTGTTTAGCTTTAAATGGGCTAGATATTAAACGATTGTTTTTATCTTTTCTAAATCAAACATTTAGTTAAGAAATTCAAACAAAATTCACAACAAATCTAGTTAACAGCTTGAAATAAACAAACTCGTGTACAGTGGTTTTGAGGGAAATATAAATAGTAAAAATAATTTTTACATTGATCAAAACATAAATTAAGACATAGCAATGAATATATGTATGTATAACATGTAAACTTGTTTTTATTACTGATGGCATTGTTGGGGACACTATGCCTTAATCTGTATTTAAAGTTCTTCTGTCTTCAATAATGGAAACTTATAAACTCAATTTTTAATTCATACAACAGCTTAGGAACTGAGCAATCTTTTCACAAGACAATTTTTCAGTATTTGAGCAATACTTTCTTAGAAAAAATGGTCAGAATGATCAATCATTTCATAGAATATTTACTTAGAATCTGAGCAATCATTTTATTAAACAATTGCCCAGAATCTGAACAAATCTGAGCAATAATTTCATAGAATAACTGCTTAGAATCTGAATAACCATTTTAGTTGCTTTAAATCTGTGCAATTTTTTTACAGAACAATTGCCCAAAATATGAGCAATCCTTTAACAAGACAGTTTTTCAGAATTCCTGCAATTATTTCATAAGACAATTGCTCAGAATCTGAGCAATCTTTTTACAGTAAAATTGCTCAGAATCTGAGCAATATTTTTATAGTACAATTGCTCAGAATCTTTGTAATACTTTAGCAAAGAACTTGCTCGGAATCTAAGCAATTTTTATATAGAGGAATTGCTTGGAATCTGTGAAATATTTCCATAGAAAAATTTCTTAGAATCTGAGCAATCATATCATAAAACAAATACTCAGAATCTGATAATTTTTTCATAGAACTATTGCTCCGAGTCTGAACAATCTTTGCATAGAACAACCGCTCAGAACCTGAGCAATCTAATCATAGAACGTTTGCACAGAATTTGAGCAGTAATTTCATAGAAAACTCACTTAAAATGTGAGCAATATTTCATAAAACAATTGCTCGGAATCTGAAGAATCATTTCATACAGTAGTTGCTTTGAATCTGAGCAATCATTTCTTAGAACAATTTCTTAAAATCTAAGCAAACACTTCGTAGAACAATTGCTTTGAATTGTTTCTTAGAATAAGTGTTTAGCAATCAAAACAATAGCCAAGAATATAAGTATCTTTTCGTAGAACTATTGTTCAGAGTATGCAATCTTTTCGTAGAACTGTTGCTCCAAAACTGTGCAATCATTTCATAGAACAATTTCCCAGAATGTGGCATACATTTTATATAACAATTGCTAAGAATTCTTTCTTAAAATAGTTGCTTAGAATCTGAGCAATCTATTTATAAAACAATTGCTAAGAATCTAAGCATCTTTTCGTATAACTATTGTTCAAAGTATGAACAATATTTGTGTAGTACGATTAGCCAGAATTTGAGCCACCATTTTGCAAAGCCTTGCTTAGAATCTGGGCAATACTTTCACAGAAAAATGTATCGGAATCTATGCAGTATATAGAAGAATTGCTCTGAATTAGAGCAATCGTTTCAAAGAAAAATTGCTTAAAACCCGAGCAATGTTTTCATCAGAGCAATCATGATGTAGAACAATTGCACAGAATTAGAGCTTGCATGTCATAGAAAAATTGCATAAAATCTGAGCAATATTTTCACAGAATAATTGGTCAAAATCTGAGCAACTTTTCACTAGGCAATTGCTCAGAATCTATTTTGTTTTTATATCATTTTAATTTGGGGGACAAAGTGGGGCTGCGGTTCTATATTGAAGACCCAGAAACAGAAGAGAGGGTAGAGCCACGAATATCCTATGGGGTGACCCTGATGAGAGTAAGACGAAAAATCTCCACAAAATGAGCAAGTTTGAAGTTAGTATGATAGTACTTATTCTGAGTTGACACACAGGATTACGAGCACATCTATGCAAAATTCGACGTGCGGATTGAGATGAATGTAGAGCATGCACTTTCTTTGCCACTGCCAGACATTCGTCGAAGTTAGATCCAAGTATCTTGGAAGTGATGTTATTCCAGAAATAACATTCCTGACTAACACGGATTGGAAGATTCTTAAGAATTACGTTCAGGAAACTGAGAAATGGCCTAAGTGCATTTCTTCGGATTTGATGTAGTATACATCCTCCTATTAACTTATATCATTTAATTTTTTTTTTTTAATAATATTTTTCTAACCCACTGTGCCGCATCCTGTAATTGTTTAGACTGGTTTTTTGATTGTCAACAATACCTAACATAGCTCTGTTAAACATAACAGTGTTAATGTTAAAACGTTTTATCACTTAAAGCTACAGCGACGCTAGCTGAAGTTAAGCATGCGCTTTAACATTGTCTGTCTCTACTTGTGACTCTCTGACTGTATGACTGCCTATCAATATTAATATATATTTTTTAACAAACTAACGAGTTAGTTCTTGCTGTTGTTGTTGTGGTTTTAAATTTATTTTTTAATTCACTCTTTAATAAATATAAAATGAAATGAAAACGACATCACTTGACATTCTTAAACTGCTTTTGTTGCTGCTGCTGCTGCTAACACTGCTCTCTTGTTTTACAATCTTACAAATTCTCTTTTTGCGTTTCGTTTGTATATTTTCTCCCTAAAAGTGCTCACTGTTGAGCTTCAATTTTGAATCGTTGTGTATGTGTGCTTTGTCTCTGTAGTTTTATTGTTGTAGTTAAGTTTAAGCTTCATTGATTCTTAAGCTATCGGCAAAAATAAATTTATAATTTGTGTATAATTTTTAGTTGCTTTCAGTATACATCGTTTAACGTTTGTATATTACTCCGTGCTTATTTCTGAGACTGAGTGTAAGACGTTTGTGTTAATATGTTTAGATTTTTTCTTTTAAATTTTTATATATTTTTTTAAACGGGGCTCTCTTCGTTTTTGTAATCGTTAATAAAATGAAGAAAACAACAACAAACAACAAAATCTTCCGTTTTTTTTTTTTTTTTTTTTGGTGTATTAAACAATATTCTTTAATTTAATTCTTTTTCTATACACGTCGTCAACGTTTGTCTGCAACAACAACAGCGAAAACTAAAATAAAAATTTAAAAAAAATTCTTTAGTATTTGTAGTCGTTGTCGTTGCCGTCGTCACTGTGTGCCTGTCGTCGCTTAAAAGAGAGGAAACAATAATAACAACAACGAAAAAAAAAGTTGGAAAAAAGTTTTGTTAGCCACACTAATGTCAGTACGGGTTCTGTAGGTTTAGTCTTCACTCAGAATCCATTTTATTAATGTGTCTTTTAACCGTCTTTGCGGTTGCGGTAGAAAACGAAAAGAAAAAATTTTACTTCTAAAGAAATTAAACAACAAAACGAAACAAAAAAAAATTAACAACACACAATTAATTATTAAAATTAATAAAGCAAGAAAAAGTAATTTAAATAAAATATTAAAAAATACATAAAGTTTAATTGATAAAATACAAAATTTTAATAAATAAAACAAAAGACTTAAGACACAGGCGTGTAATTAAAGAAATTTGTGCAAAAGTAAAAAAATACAAAAAAATTACAAAAAAAAATCTTTAAAAGAAGAAAAATATAAAATTTTTTAAAATTTAAGCAGTTATTAACATAACAATTAATTATAAATAAAAATTCACAAAAAAACAAAAAAAGTGAAAAAAATTTATTAATTCTTTTTAAAATAAAATTTAAATATTTTTTTGTTTACAAATTACAGAATATTATGAAATATTTTAAAAAAATTTACCGTTATTTAATTTACAAAACAAAACAAAGTGCTAAAAACAAATAAATAAAAATATTTATAAGCCAAAAAAAATAAATAAAATTAACAAATTACTTGTTGTTGTTATTGTCTTTTAGATCCAGTTGCTGTGAAATTATTTTTATCGGCATTTAAAACAGCTGCCTGTTCCTCTTAAAATCATTGTGTTAATTTTTTCAATAAAATATCACAAAAAAAAAATCTCCATAAATATACAAAAAAAGTGTTTATTTGTTTTTGTGACCAGCCGTTAAATACAAAAAATGAAAGCGAAATTTATATTATATTTAAAGTGCTGAATATATTTTTTATTGTTTGTAAGTATTTCAATATTATCACACATCCACCTATACATATATTCATAAACATATTTTCTGCAGCTAAATGACATGATTCATATTGTTAAGTAATAAACCGTTTTGAAAATGAAAATAACTTGAAAAAAATAAACAAGAAATTTGGGTGAAATTTTTTATTTTCAAAAATTTCGTAAGAAAATGAAATTTATTGTGACATTGAAAGGAAAAGTGTTAAAAGTGTAATAATAAGTAAGTAAACGGTTTGTAAATAAATGTTACAAAAATTAAAAAAAAAAAAACAACAAATAAACACCAAAGTAAAAAAAGTTTAAAAATTTTATGATTATAATTAAATACAAATTTTCTGGTTTTACTTGCAACACACCTTGCCTAAGAAGTCCACATTTATGCTTCGATTTCAATTATATTAAAAAAAATACAGTGTCAGTCCCTTAATATTATCTCAAAATTATTCACCAAAACATTTAGATACAAACATGAACAAAATTATGAAAAGTTGGTTAAAAAGAGTTTAGTTGTGAAATTATTCGGTATCTCGTGAACTATTCAAGATATCGTAACGATATAGTCAAAATTGAGGTATTTCCAAGTTGTTGAATTTACAATTCTTAGGCTTGTCGTTCTCTACATATGAATTACGTATGGGTTAGGTTAAGATCAGATCCGAAAAAATACATCTATGCCAGTATAGATGCTATAGTAGGCTTCTTTTCATAGAAAAACCTTATATATCGATCTATGAAAAGAATTATCGAGCAACGTTCAAACACTCAATGACTTGTACCCCGTTTCTGTATTTATCTAGTAAAAATATTGTACAGGGTGAGTACAAGGAAATCAAATATTTTTTTCTTAAATTTTATTGTGTATAGTTCCTGAGGGAAGTAATATCTAAAATAACAACGCTCTCAAGATATTTCGACGATAGTCTGGCAAAAAAAAGAGAATGTGTTACACGTTTTACTGTTTTCTCAGCATGTTCTACATTCGACCGACTACGCCTGTCCAATTTTGTGTAATTGTGCCCGTATGCTTGTATATCCACTAAGCATAGAGCTTGGGATAACTACAGGCATTCGCTCTAATGTTCCGCTTAATCGTGATATTCTATCTGGAATCAAAGTATGTTTGGACTTTATAGACAGCTCAACGGCTGGACCCATTTTTCTGAAATTTTCACTGTGTCTTCCTGTATGTCTAGAAGGAACTATAGGTTATTTTTTACTTCCCACATACAAAATAAGTAATAAAAGTCGCAAATTTCGGAAACTTTCTAAAATTTAGTATGGACAACTTTGACATCCATATGAATACATAGGAAAAAATGGGCAGTATAGCTACAGTGGGCGTGGCAAAAAAAATATTAAATTGATATATCTGAGACCACTAACAGCTAGAGTTCTCATTGTTTTTCGGAGTATCAACATGAATGTTTAGGATATAAAATGGGCGAAATAGAAAAGGGGGCGTGGCAACCCCCATATGAATTAAATTTAAAAATTCGTTTATCCGATAAACTAAAATTTTGCACAAAGAACTTTAGCATCCAAGTGAAAATTTAGGATACAAATGGGTGGTCTTTCATAAGGGGGTCTCGATACCTCCCATACGAATTGAATATAAAATTTCGTATATCTGGGAAACTATTAGAGCTAAAACTTCCATGTGCACATTTGCTTAATAAATTGACGGACTAAATTTTAGGGGCATGGTACCTCCCACTATTGGAGCTAGATTCTTAAAATTTTGTACGAAGAACTTTTTTATCAATTTGAACATTTTGAAAAAAATGGGCGGACTTTTATTAGAGAGGCTTGTCACATTCCATATGAATTAAGTACAAAAATTCGTGTATTTGGGAAACTATTAGAGCTATAATCTTCAAAAATCGTAAAGTGGGTTTTTTATTTATATTGACTTTAGGGTAGCAAAGCATACTGGGTATAGGTGTTAAAATATAAGTTGGAATCGGAATCGGAATAATGCGACTAAAGGCCCATTTCGTGGCTATGGTTCTCTTACATAAAGTGTGGGGCACTGCCGATAACTGATATATTCTTCCCGGAACATAGGCTTTAGAAATTTTCTTTTGTGCGCCATATATCTGGCCACTATTTGTTCTAATTATTCCATCTTAATCAATTAAGATTAAGGGTCGAAACGACCTTTAGGACCTGTGCAGTAACTTTCATATTATTGCTCGATCACTCCATGTTTGTTTTAAAAGTTTGGATAATAAACTGAGAACATCTAACATATTAACAGTAAGTTGTCAGAAAGTCTTAATAAAGCTCAGACAACCAAGTCTCTAAAAACTCAACATTTACAACTAAACTAATATTATTCATAAATAATATAATATTAAGAGAAATTAATAGTTTCTTTTAAATCATAAACTATAAACGCCATACATTTTTCTATACCTCTCTTTAACATTTGAAACATAACACAAACTCCCACCAACAAAAAAAAAAAAAAATGAATGATGAATAAATTTCGAAAATAAAATTATTTGTTTTGTTGTGTGACCACAACAAATTCTTTTGTTTTCAATTTTATTTCATTTGGTATTTGTGTTGAAAAATTGATTTCTGAATTTCATTTAGATTTTATTTAGACGCCAGTATTTGGTTTTTGTGATTTTTTTTATAATTTCAACTTTATTGGCATTTGATGTTTTAAACTCTTCGGTTTGTTTTTTTTTTAAACGACCAGTTTTTGAATTCATCACAAAGTGTTTGTTGATTGCTGTGCTGCTGAGTTGCTCATTATTTTGCATGAATGACGTTTGTTTAAAATTGGTGGTTTAATCTTGTTTTTAAAATCATTTATTTGTTTTGTTTTCATTTTGTAGAAATTATTTTGTTTTTTTTTTATATGTTACTGGTTATTCACACCATTTAAACGACCTTATGACGTTTAGGTGGATTTTATGTTTTTGTTATTATTTCATCTATATATGTACATATTTAAATCAAATAGTCAATATATTTAAATATGACCACTTGTGTGTTGAAGATGATTTCTATTAAAATCACTTTTTTTAATACAAATTATTTGGATTAGTTGTGTGATTAGTGTTTAAATACATTCGTTATTGTTAAGTTTTGTGTTTGTAGTAGGCGTTTTTGAAAATTATAGTTTTTAGGATTTAATAATTTTTATAATTTTTCTTTTGTTATTTCTCTAAAGGTCGATTATAAGATAAAATTTGTACTTAATTTTTTGTTAAATAGAAGACCTGTTTCTTATAATTGTAAGTTATTAAATTTATTTCGATTTAGTTTAACTAATATAGTTTTTTTTTTTTTTTTTTTTTTTTTGTAACATTTATTACAAATATTATGATTAGAGGTCATTATCTTGTTAATGATTAATATAAAGCATTTAGCAAAGATTAATGAGATATTTGGCTTTTATGTTTTTGACGAAATCATTTTTGACAGATATTGAAGTTTTGTTATCTATTATTACTTATGTATGAATAACTTAACCATATTATGATTATTTTATAAACATTTTCGAAAATTTAATTTGTTAAAATATTTATATGAAAATTTTGATATTTTTTTCATTCCATTTAAAGAAAATTTTAATAAATTTAGGTTGGGTTGATAGGATGATGTATACTACATCAAATCCGAAGAAATACACCTAGGCCACTATCGGGCCTGTTGTGACCTCCTTTTCATAAAAAAAGTTCACTGAATGAATTATTTTTTATTGTTCAGAAACTTAGTTTCCTGGACGTAATTCCTAAGAATCTTGCAATCAGTGTTAGTCAGGAATGTAATTTCCGGAATAACATCACTTTCAAGATAATTGGTTCTAACTTCGACGAATGCCTGACAGTGGCAAAGAAAGTGCTCCAGAGTTTCATTGTTCCACATGTTCTACATTCGTCTGAATCCCCACTTCCCACTTTGCATAGATGTGCTTGTAATCCTGTGTGTCCACTCAGAATACGTACCATCATACTAACTTCAGAATTGCACATTTTGAGGAGATTTCTCGTCTTGCTCTCTTCAGGGTCACCCCTTAGGATCTTTGTGATTCTACCCATCGTTTCCAATTACTATTCCAAGAGGCCTTATGGGATTCTCTCACACATATTTTTAATTCAGCTTTTGTTGCGTCGAATGATTTTGAGTTTGTCACGTTAATTGCCTCAAGCTTCCTTCCCTTTAAAGCTATTACATTCGCCCTTTCGTTGCCGACTACTCACGAGTGGCCTGGTACCCATATGATGTAAACCTTACTTTTATAGAGTATTCAGTCTAAGCATTCTTCCAATCCAATACGGTCTTAGATTTAATTCTATCACCTGATATCGCCCTAATTGCCCTCTGGCTGGGTGGGTAAATATATTAAGGGCTATGGGCGCCATATTTATTCTCATCCAATTTACGCATTACGTTATTGCTCGTACTTCTGCCTGGAAGTTTGTGTTATGATTAGGTAAACGGTAGTATATTTCTGTTTCCGGGTCTTCAATATAGAACCCTAGCCCCACTTTGTCCCCCAATTTAGAGCCATCCGTGTAACAACGGATTCCTACTGGTATTTGCTCCAATGTTCCGCTTGCTCAAGACATTCTATCTGGGACCAGCGTTTCAAAGTTTCCTACATATTCTGTGTCTGGTATGCGATCAGGCACGTCCGATGATTGTGTATAACTTTCCAATGTGTACAGTATACATTAATGACGTGTTCCATAACCGCTTTTTGCCAGTTCGCCTAAAGTAAAGAGCCGTTCGGCTGTAAGCGCCGACTTATATCTTAAATATATTTCAATGGGTCGAATTTCAAGCAACTTTTCCAGAGCCTTGGTTGAAGTAGTACACATGGCACCACTTATACCACTTATACGCTGAACTCCCTGTTGTAGTTTGATATTACAGTTTTTGTCCACCAGATTATAAATGCATAAGCTAGAATTGGTGTAATTACACTTTTAAAAAGTCAATTTGTCATAGTAGGACTAGGACCCCATTTCA